AGGAAGGCAGGGATGCGGATGGAGGCGATGACCGAACGATGGCAAAATGCGGCCCCACTCATACCCACCATCTTGTCTCGGGGCTGACTTGGAAGGACCGAAGCAGGCCGCGCACGCGCTTTTTATCAGCAGCCCGCCCTCTCTGAAACACGTCACGAGCGCGATCCTCCTGTGCACATGCGCGTGAGCTCGGGCTCTCCCTCAAAGCTTCGCGAGGATAGAAAGGCTGCGTGTGGTTGGTATGAATCGCGGGCAGGGTCAAATTTTTGAGAAGGCGAAGTGGGCCGAGCGATGGGCGTTTCCCAGTGGGAGGGGGCGTCCTTCCTATTCCATCCGGCCCGCAAGGCTTTGTGACGTCCTGGCTGCCGGGCTTGTAGCGCGCGCACTGTTCTGCTCAGGGGCGCCGGGTTTCCTGTTCCATAAAGAAGACACGGTGGGGGTGCGTCTCTCTCCCAACCCGGTAGTTCCAGCTCATGCTGGCAATGGCAGAGCGAGTCCCACCCCAGCGCGGGCTGGAACGCGGCCTGTGGCATGCCTCCCCTCCCCGCCCTGGGCTGGGGCTCTCAGCCAGCTTAGCCCCGCAAGTCCCCACCACCCCCGAAGGCTCCCCCTTCTCCCACCCCTCCCCCCGACCCTGCCTCAGGCTAGGGGCCCTGAGCAGTCCCCAAGGCCTGGACAGTCCAGTGCCCACCTTCCCAGAGACTGACCTGTATCCAGCTGCCAGAGCTGCTCCCACTACTCTGCCTGGCTGCGAACTGGTCATGTGTATTTGCATGTGTGTGCGCACAGACATATGGGGTGCCCCCTGCTTCTATTCACCACAAGCAGCACTGGGTTTTCTGCAGGAATCGGAAAACTCGGATCCCCAATGTGCTCACCACGAGGCAAGCCAGCAAATGAAGTTCTTCTACCTACCAGCATCCATGTTGAAAAAGGACTAGCAGAGGCACTGCTGGACACTTGTTCGTATTTCAAAGGACCATCCGGAGGTCAGAGGGCCCAAAAAGAGGACATATCTGGGCAAACCCAGAAATATGGTAACCCTAGTGCTGCGGGAGGGGCCCTGGGGCTCCCCCTATACAGCCATTCACCATGACCTGCCCTCCTGTTCTCTCTGTTCACCTGCCTCCAGCCACTGGAGGTGGCAGTCCCAGGAGCTTGGCTGCCTTCCCCAGCATACCCACACACAAAACATGGGGCCTGTAGGACCTATAAGGCAGGGTTCAAGCCCCTTGATGCGTACCTGAGCCGAAACCTGATCATCATTCAGAAGTGTGACAAAGCAGGGGTGTCAAAGATACAGCCCCCAGTGCTACCCTGGGTTTCGGTGTGGACCCACGCGCCATCTGTAACCTGCTGGGCTAGCCCCATGTGCAGGATCCAGGATCTGTGCTGTACATGGCGCCCACTTCAGGCAGCCCAGGATGTGCACTGCACATAGTGCCTACCCCAGGTGGCCTGGGGCAGGTGCCACCTGCAGTGCATGTCTCAGACCAGCCTTGAGCGGGCACGATGTGCAGCACAATTCCAGAGTGGCCAGAGTGTCTGTTGCAAGTTCTGGATCCAGTGTGGGCAGGGCCTGCTCCAACCTGTGGACCAGCCCTGCAACACATCTGACACCCTGGCTGGAGGCAGTAGGCATCTGTCTGTCCCATGAGACAATGGAATTACGCAGCTGTGATTGTGGCCATAGAGCCCAATTCTTGAGAGAGAGTCCCTTCCACACTTATCACATGTGATGTTTGTGTTGAACAACCCTGAATGTGATACAGGATTCCTTCTGAGGTTTCTTTTCCTCTGCACATGGGGCTTTTCTTTCCTCAAAAGCCTTCATTCCATGCTTAACACACTGATTCCAAGCTCTTTGACCCTCAGTAATCTTCTCCCAGTTGTTTGGCTTGATGTTTGTTGCCTTCAAATTTTCTTGTAAATGTCTTTAAAACAGAGAAAAGGATGCCTGCATGATCTTCCTGTAAAGAGTGCTCCATAAGAGAGATCCTTGGGTATACAGCCATCTTCTATTTTCCACAAAAGACTAAGCCATTGAAGTTGATACTAAGAAGAGTTGCTTGGAATGTTGGCACACAGGACCAGATGAGTTTAACATCCCTGCTGTAAGGCCTTCCTTTTTGGGCAGGCATTTGCCAAACAAAGCTAGACAGAGGTGATGTTTAGGGTCAGGAGTGCCTCTGTTTTATCTTGTTTACTTTGACTCCATACACTTTTCTTTTTTCCTAAGTTTGCACAACATGCAGGCCTCACATTGCCTATGTTGGGGAGTCTTGAATGCCCGTCACTCGTTTTTGCTGTGCTTGGTATGTCATTACATTCCTCTTCACAGATCCTTTGATCCCAGAAGCACTTCAGTTTGGATCAAGATGATTAGCACATGAGAGAAGGCAGATTTTGAGGGACAGTTTCAAAGGAGTTGAGATGCACAGGGCAATGATGATCACACCCAATACTAATAAAGTGAACCCAGAAAAGAACAATGGTCACAGGTCATGACAGCTTCCCTGCTCCCTACTCAGTTGGCCAAGAGCTCCTTATCTCTGGAAAATGGGCAGGAATG